TGTCAGGCTGAAACAGACACGGGGCCTGTAGGCCCTGGTTTTCAGGCTGTCAGGCTGAAACAGACACGGGGCCTGTAGGCCCTGGTTTTCAGGCTTTCAGGCTGAAAATGACACGGGCCTGAAAATGGCCCGTGCAGCCTGTTGCAAGCACAACATGTAACACCCCCCCCTGCTTGTGAAGTCAAGCCGGGTCGAGGGCGAAGCTGACGATCTGAAGGTGGAACCTGGTCGCGGATGCGACGTGGAGCCAAAGATACCGGCTTGCCTTGCATCAGTACACAAAGTGTACCAAGTATTCAGTCGGTCTATTGTCGTAGCTGCAGTAAATGCAGCCGTTCGACGGCACGACACCGGCCTCAAGAATGATCTCCTGAGAGATCGGCCGATCCGGCACTACACCGGAAGATGTCGGTGAACTCGTCAAGCAACCACACCACACGCGGATCTGAAGACAAGGCCGTGGGGGAAGAATCGACTTGGTTGTCACCACTTGGCACCGAATCGAAGGGTGCGGAAGAGGAATAGTACACGACACTTCGGTGCAGAAGGCGTCACGAACGCTAAGAGTCTGCTGGTGGAAGTTAACCGTGTGATCCGCACTTGCAAGCCAAGGCATTCCCAAAAATGTCGAAGTCTGTGTCCAAAATGTCGAACGTCACCGGTTCGCATGCATGAGGTGCGAAATACACCGGTACGACCTCGATGTAGCGGTCGATAAGTTGCTGCGTCCTTCCGTCCGCCAACTTGATCGCCGCCGGGTTTGCATTCCTCCGAACTTGTGCGCCAAGGCCAGCCTTTTGCATAAAGGCTTGGCTCATGAAATTGCGAGTCGCGCCGCTATCCAGCAAAGCGCCGCAGGACGCTTGCCCAACTTGGATGCGGACATAGAGGAGTGGTGCGTTGTTGTCATCGTACCGCCGCTTGCGAAACTCGCGGGCCACCTTGGTAACATACGCAAGGATGTCCCCCACCGCGACTTCGTCATCCGTCGGCGAAGTTGGTGGTGCATAGAAGGATAGATACGTGTGAAGACGGACGCATATGGTGCGCATTGCGGTCCCGGCAAGCGGCCTGTGGTCGGGAGAGGAAGCCATGCGAAATCCTTCGACGTGAGCGGGTCCAAGACCTCTATGTTGAACTCGCGCGCCAAATCCCGTGAAGAACCACTTGAAGATGATAAGTCGCGCTGCCGGACGGAGAAGATGCCGCACACACGTCTTGTCCTTGAGCTTGAGTACCCAGCGTAGGAACGAGCCGGGTAGCATAGTCCTCAAAAGAATACAGAAGAGGAGAACTATCGACTTCCGCATGTGCCTTGGAACGAAGGGCGGTCACCCGCGAAGCGACTGGTTCCGAAGGCGTCGAGAGTGTCGTCGAGTCACTCCCGGCGGTGCTCAGTTTCCCGATTTGCCCATGCCTTTTGATGGGCAGGTCACTCTCTCATGGAGATCGTTCTTGCACCATAGGCAATAGTGAAATCTCGTGTGTGCTTTGTACGTCGTTTCCGAGAGGCCGTATTGGGACCATGGGGCTGGAGCTGCTGCGCCGGTGTTGGAGGGCACGGTGTCCCGGGCCTCCTATGTACCAAGTCTCTGCATAGTGCCAGTTCCCTGCGCTGGTACCTGGATCGTTTCTCGGCGTGGACAGATCCCGGTGGCGTAGCCCTCAGATAAAGGGGTGCGCCACATGACTTCCATTGGTCCACGCAGGCTCGGCGCCCTGCTGTACAGCAGAGCACAACCGGCCTGTGGCCGTGGTAGCCGCCGGGTTCGCCCTGGGACGCGAAAGTAGAGAGATAGGCGTTGTCTTTTCTATTATGCACCAAGCACCCCTCTACATGGTTATGGGTCAGATGCATGACACTGACAGCAGTCAGAGAAACGGAAGGCTAAAGCAAAAAGCAGCAAGAAAAGAAAAATGGAAAAGAAAACAAGGGTCTAACTTTAACGCAGATTGGACTACTAGCTTCAGTTCGGGGAAATCTGATGGCCTCTGACCCCCAGTTATCGTTGCGTCTCACTCTATTATTATTATTATTATTATTATTATTATTTACTTGTTGTTATCGTTATCCCTTTTTCCGCTTTCCTTGATTGGTCTGTTGTTTCGTAGGGAGACCAACAGGGCCGGACTTCGAGTTTAGGCGGTGGTATTATGGTCTAGGCGGGCCCAACCTTTTGAATATTATCTGTACCGGGTCCGTGCGCCTGAGGCTCTGCGCGGTAGGACCCCAGTAGCTGTACTACAGGGCAGATGCAGTGGGCCTGAAAAAGGGAAGTGTGAAAAAGAAGGAAAAGGGGTAAGGATGAAAATCGTGTTTTGGGCTTGTGCGTGAACTTGCAACGCTATTTAGGCGAAGCCTGCGGCGCGAAGGGAACTTGAAGCGCCGTCCTTTCTTTCCGCATTGATTGTCATTTATTATTATTATTTTTATTATTATCAGTATTAATTTTTCCTATTTCCAGTTTCCGCCTGTCGGCCTGTCATCTCACGGGAAGGCCAACGGTTCGTATTTCGAACTCGGCGACTCACAGCCTAAGTAGGCCGACCCCACATATACTGTCTGTAGGCTAGCTTTGGTTTGGCGTAGTGCGGTAAGGCCCCAAAAGGGGGGCGACCCGTGGCCGCATTGGTAGGAGGAATATCACCCCCTACAGAGGGTCATAAACCCCCTCCTTGCCATCGGACACAGGTACCCGTCGGGTATAGGCCAACGCGTACGTCTTAAAGAAAGAGAAATGCTTGTCAGTGTCCCGTTATGGGACTTCAGATATTGGGCCGTGGTCACATCATGATAATTAATGGCTTGACGGCGGCATAGCGATTTCGAACCATACCTTGACCGTTGAGTTTTCAGTTTCGAATTATTCAGTTTTTGTTTTGCTTTATATTTTGGAATATTAAGATTTTTAGAGCGCAGGGTGATAGCGAGGGGTGAGCCTATATAGAGGTGAGGCAAACGAGTTCTTGGCAGTGAAGCCTCTTCTGCTGTGTTGATGCTGTTGGCCTGAGAAAGCGGTGGATAGTCTGTGGGCACGAGTGTTGGGTCTAGTGTTGTGCTATCTATCAAGCGGGGCAGGCTATCCTGAGTAGCAATGTCGCTACACGGCTATAGGCTTGGCTGTTGGCGGCACACTGTGCGCTGGGTCCCAGTGTCAGGTGAAGGCCCCCTGATTACGACGACCCTGAACTATGATGGGGGAGTAGTAGTTCGACTCAAGGTCTGTATTGAAGGGGGGAGAGAGGAGGAGATGCGATGTGACCAGAGGCTGCAGGCTGCTATTTCCGAAGCGCGCGACAGGGCAGTGCGGAGGTGCAGACGAGACGGGGTGACCGTGGGCTTGAGAGTGACGGTCATCTATCACGAGACCGAATGATCAACTGGGACCGAGACAAGGGAGGAGCAGCACAATGAGAGAGACTCAGGCGGGGAGAGTGAAATGAGCGAGGCTGACTGTGAGACGGATCTCAGGTCCTGGAACAGACCCGAGGAGATCCAAAAGCACCACCGGGCCGCGGAGCCGGGGGAAAAGGGACCTGAGGCCAGCTCACGACAGCCGACTCCCAGAGGCCGTGGGACCGGAGGCCGCGGGGCAGGAGGAAAACAGAGCAAAGGGAAGAGACAAGTGTGAGACACGAGAGGCAGAACACATGCACTGCAAAGAGGTCAACGAAGAGAGAGACAGAGAGTAAGCGGGAACGGGATGAGTGCGCAGAGCACGCTTGATGTCAACTGAACGGCATCTGTAGCGAACCAGAGGTGATGAAATGAGTGGTGCGCATGAGTGTGATGGGTGTGTACAGACTGCACGTGGCGCGGTCTGGGAGGAGCAAGAGGATGGTCAATGAGAAAAGTGAGAGGGGAGAGTAGGCAGTACACCTGAGACACGCGGGGCAGCCCGATAGAGCAGGCGCGAGCGGTCAATGAAGAGAGAGAGAGAGAGCGACAAACGTCAGCGGGGGTTCTCACGCACGTGCACAGTGCATACGCCTGCAGCAAGGGAGCATGAGCGGAACAGGGAGAGCAATCGTTGAGAGCTCTGAGTTGAGCCAAGAAGAAGAGGGGAAGACGTGGGACGGTGACGCGTACTTGGTCCCGCGTGGCCCGCACCAGGGAAGGAGGAGGAGTGTTGAGAGAATGCACGCGGCTGACAGGGAGATAATTCTAAAACCGCGTGCAGGGAGAAGGTCAAAGAGGCGTAGTGGTTGACATCACAACTTCCATGGCTTGGAGTAGCTAGAACTCCGTCATCTCAGGGACCCGAGCTGTTATTTCTAGGTAGCAAGAGAGACATCAGAGAAAGCTTGTGATGACTAGTGTGTCTTCCACGAAAAGGTTTCTTCATGGTGCAGCAGAAAATAGACCCTCTCCTCGTCACTCGTGCGTGATCAGCTTGGCCAAGAAGTAGTTGCAGAGAAAGTCTTGTTTCTTTGAGGACAATTTTTCTTACCATCTGTCACGCCGCTCCTGAGTGACCTTCAGCCTGTGACGAGCACGATTGTCAGAGACCGCCGATCCACTTCTTTGTGGTTGCTCAGGCCGAAAATCTCAGATAAGACGGTGGCTATTGCAAGATAACTTCCTTCGACTTTTAATTTCGGCTCTCTTTTCCTTCCTTTTATTTGGTTAATTAGGATGATTGATCGTTGTTGACCGATTATGTCCCACTTTGACGAGGGTTAAGCCTGCGGTGGATCGTGCGGATAGGTAAATAAGGGGGTGAAGCCCCGACACGGGACAACGGTTGGAAACGCGCTGGCAGTGAAAAGAGTCCAAAGCACAGGCTACTATCCTAAGGAAATTAGCAAAATTGAAATGGTTGGACAATCTTGATGTTGACACTTGTCTATTSTGTGTGTTCACCTGTGYTACCTRTGTTGAGTGGTCTATCTGACCACATGGCAAGGTCAAAGAGACGTGCAGTCAGTGTTTTAGTGTGTCCTGCCATGTGATTGCATCGTGTAACTGCACCGTGTGATCACCGTGCAATTGTGCCATGTGATCGYATCATGTAACTGCACCATGTGATCTCATCGTGTAATTGTGCCATGTGATCGCATTGCGTAACTGTGTTGTGTGGCTATACCGTGTGACTAGGCCACGTGACCGTATTGAGTGACAGTACCGCGAGGCTATACCGTGTGACTGTACCACGCTACCGCGCCGTGCAATCGCGCCATGTGGCTGCATCGTGCGTTTGCTCCATGTGATTGTGCTGCGTGACTGCGCCATGTAACGGCGCGAGTGCGTGAAAGTGTAGGCTTGCAAGTGTTCACTCAACTGGATGGTGGCCTATAGGGAATAAAACTCGATTGTGCCGTGAGAAGGAGAGGGTGCGAGTCTGTGAAAACCTGCATTAACCTGCGCGTGCAAGCTGTGTGCCTTGTGAGTCTGATAACTGTTGGCGAGTGTTTGATCAATTGTGCAGATCTTCTTCTACAAAAGGGGAAAACGTAAAGAATGATTTTCGTCGGCTGTCTTCCTACGCCTTGACTCCTGATTGGATGGGGAAAAGAAAGTCAGTACTAAGGGGAATATCCTATGTCCTCGCTAAATTCCTCCTTGATGGTGACTGAGTGTCGTTTTGCCTGGACGGGTAGGATCTAACCCAATGGAAAAATAAACTGAGTACCCATCACAGCAGACAGGGTTTCAATCAGAAAAGCGTGAAGTGTTGCGTGAACCCTTTTCCCACCGCTGTTGACCTCTATGTAGTCGGTAATGGCATGAGCACCAGGGCAGCTCTTTCCTGAGCCCTCGTCCTTACCTGATTTCTTTTCTTTAAGCTTGAGTGCGGATAGGTAAAATGCCAAGGAACGGAGCCCCTTGGGTGGAAAACTTGGGTTCTGAGCACTGACTACTCCAGTTTTCAGTTAAAACAGACGTATGAGTGGCTGAGCTGACAGTGCCCTTAATACTTGGTTTGACGACACTGAAGGTACGGATTATATAACGGGGCCCCAAGCAATACCCGGACTCACCCAATACAGCAAACACCCGGTGTTACGGATGAATTGGCGAGAGCCTGTGAAAAGACCCCTTTCTGCTTCATGTTGGCAAAGGTTGTGCTCAGGGTCTTCTGCGTTGTGAACGAGTGAAAACCGATCACTTGGGACTCTGCCCTCGCTGGAAATGGGTTAGCATTTGATACTTCTCTCGTGCAGCATACGAACACCTGCTATGATTGATGACGCGGTGTGCTGAGTACAAATGGGAATCGAATAGTGTGCTCGAAGTCTCATAACATGCTAAGCGTAAACGATGCCCAGTGCGTGGATGGCCTGCAGTGTATGCGTATTGAGCAAGAGTAAGCTCTTGTTTAAGGTTGTGACGTCGAAGTACAGAACAACCCTGTGGTCTTACCTGATGAACGGGGTTTAGCGTGGGCAAGTGTTTCGAATCACCCTAACGAAGGCGACCAGGGGGCGAGCCCCGCAGTGGCCTATAGGGTATGCGTAGGATCTACAGTAAGGGTAGAACTGTTCTGGGTGGCAGACTTGCCCCCAGACCGCCAAAACGAAGAGGTTTGAGCAGCGCGCCTCAGCGTTGAGTGAACGGTAATCTGGAGTGTTGTGCTTAGACGTGCCTGTGTGCCTGTGAAATGGTCATTGTTTAGGGTGAGGCCATATATCTTTGGGAGCGGATCACTATCGTGTTAACTGCAGACTCTACTCATGTCAGACCCTTGGCAACCCATTATCAGACCTAAGAGACCCAGCTCCTATGAAAGTGATCCTTCTCAGGAAGGACTAACCACCGGTTAAGCAAATCCAAAGGGGGTGGTTTATGAGGGAGTCGTGGGTTGTTGAGAGAGTGGTGCTATACGGATCACAATGGGGTCAATTGTTGTATTCCCAGCCTACCGCATTAGGTGACTGGTGACTGTTAGAGAACGATATTAGCAGACTGATTACCTTGACTCACTTTCATTCAGGACAATCTCCTCATCAGCCAAGCTACCCCTTACCCTCCTGAGGGTAATTCCTGGTAAGGCAACGATCCCCTGTTGCCAGAGCTATTGTCAACAATTCTCTGTCAGTCGGCAGATCAGTCATCTGCCAGTTTCGTTTTGGCAGGCCAATATCGTTCAGTGGATACAGCTAATCCAATACTCTTGTCGTGAAAAGTGAACTTCAAGAGCATCACGCAGGAGTAAAGATAATTAGTAACCTCACTTATTGCGTGGGTTCTGGAGCAACAGGGAAACATGAGAGAAAACGAAGTCCTAGTGATAAAATCCGTTTCTGTCAGGGACAAGAAAAAAGGCTGGGAGGAGGAGGCACACAAGGACATGGAGAAACACAGAATGGTTCAGAGTAAGTTTGCTGTTGAGATAGTTGGGGAAAGGAGGTACATCGAATATGTAATTTACTTCTACGGACTTGATGGGAAACCGCACAGCACTATCTCTCAATTAGAAATGGTCGAGCAAGCGAGGGCAGAGATTGAGCCGTAAAAGAAAAGGAGCCGACAGTTTTCGAACGGGGAACCCGGGTTACTGAAGCCCTGAGCGGTATTCAGCTCAGGATTCAGACTTGGCACTCGGGGCCATACTCAGATTAGTGTTTAAACTCAGTATTCGGGACAGAGCTCAGAACTGTGCTCAGAACTGTACTCGGAGCAATATTCGGGACAGTACTCAGAACTGTATTTGGAACTGTACTCGGAGTTGTTCTCAGAACTGTACTGTGAACGGCTCCCAGGGCGGTACTTAGGACTGCATTCAGAACGGCACTTATGAGCGGCAATCTCGGCAGCAGCAGTCAACTGGAAACCAAACAGTGGGAAATTCAGAAAAGAAATGGGGGACAGTGATGCCGTTAGAGTGACTTGCTCATTGCATCAAGCATCAACAAGGGATTGGAGGGAGACGGCAACCGATGACTATAATTGCCAGACTATCATCATGATGGAGCACGCGCTGACACTTGTAAGAAACCATACAAAAATTGAATACACCTACTATCTGTATGACAACAGCGGAAGACTGTGTGCAACCATCTCATCTGTGGGTTCTGTTGAGGAGGCACGGAGAACCATTTGCAGATACCAGTAAAACGAAATTGTACCGGGCAAGGAGTAAGTAAGATAAGATTGGGTCGGGATGGAAACTAGTAGCTACCAGAAATACTGCAAACCTACAAGACATGAGGATAAATAGCAAACGTTTATGACACGGTAATAGTCGACAAAACAGCAATTCATAAAATAATCAGCATTTGACTCAGTAACCAGTAATCTCAACAGCCGTCAGTTCCACGGCAGCAATCAGTTCCTGGTAATCAGCTTCCAACAGTAATTTCTTAGTAACCAGTTCTTCAACATTAATTTTCCAGTAATCAGTCTTCAACATTATTCTTCAGAACTCAGTCCTCATCATTCAGTTATCGGCATTCATCTTTCAGCAAAGCAGCTTCCCGCAATCAATTTGGTAACCTGTTTCTCCAGGACCGTCTGATCAGTTTGTACTGGCCAGAGTACTCATGAGCACAGTTCAGTCTACTCCGATCAGTGAGTCAGTACTGGCCAGCCTCAACAGGATTTCATGCAAAGAGGCTTTCCATTATTGGTATGTTAGTGTCATTGGTTTCAGGCAGGGAGATCTGTCAATCTTCATTGTCCAGACCAGTTTTGTTGATGGCACTATCCATGATCTGAGGCCCTACCTGAAGAAGGGCAAGGAGACTCATGAGCACTTTGATCCGGTCTGGATCTCAGCCGCTGAATACCTCGGGCGGAGAGAGAGGGAGCTCGATGAGAGTGGCACTACGCTGATCCGCAGCTTCGGTCCAATGCTTTATACAGACTATCCTAGGCCTCCAGTCCCTCCTCTTCTCGCAGATGACACGAGTTGGCTGGATGTGATTGGATTGGCAAAAAGGTACATCTCTCTGGCGGTGATCGACATTGAGGCATTGACTGAGCCCACCGAGTATCCCTACCTCAGGCGAGGAGTCTTTTCAGTGGACGGACTACCTACTTTGTGGGAGGAGTTTTGCTCCATGATTAACTACCGTGTCATGTGCCTCGGATGGTCGTGCTCAGAGCTTGCTGGCTACAAGTGGTTTTTTGTCACAAAGCCTCAGCCTCAGACTGTACGTAGGCGTGGGTCTCGACACCAGAGAGGAGCAGTGAAAAGAGATTGAGAGAGATGGACCAGAGGGATGAGTGAGAACTCTTGAGAGGTGTTGACCACGCTCGTTTATGTGTACTTTATGAGATTATTATGAGTTCTCATTCTTCCCTCATTCAATCGCCCCTGTCTTTGCTCGAGTCAGTCAGTCTTATTTTCTGCATTATTCTTGCTCAATGATTGCCTTCGTGGATGTTTTGTCACAGTTCTCAAAATCAGATTGACATAATTGATGCATGCATAGCACTCCGTAATTTTATGATTATTGTTTGCTTAATTCTCTTCTGTTCCGAATCAAAATAAAAGATTCCTAAGACCGGGGACCGGCGAAGATCGCAATTGAAGGGTCTCGCTCGAAGCCGGACGCACACAACAGGAAGGGACTTGCATTATTTAATTAATTTATTTAATGCAATCACATACAAAATCCTGCGTGACAGCCTGTTGGCTTTCCGGTCGCCCTGAGAGGCCAGACTGGGAAAAAGTGCGACACCGGGCCCGGGGCTAGATGTGGTGTTTGTCTTCGCCTTGCCGCGTCCTCGGCCTTTGCCGGGGAAGCCACCTTCCCGGGCGGCTGCGAGTCTGTCCCCTTCATCGATAGACACGGCCTCGCTAGTTTGGTCAAACGGCGTTGCCGTCGCGACCACAACCACTCTTGGCCGATGCTGGTCTCTGCTCGGGCCTGGCGCAGACGAACGCATGTTCTTGGCCTCCTTGTTCATGATAATGATCTGCGCGGCCTTGTCAAAAAGTTTCGCCGTTGTCGTCAAGGTCTCCTCGACGTGAGTCAGGGCATTGCTTAATGTCGGACATAACCTTGAGATGAAATAGTGGCGGATGGCTTTGAAGCCCATCTGGATGTCTGGGACGGATGTCAAGCGTTGGTACTCGGCAATCCAGTCGACACTCGGCAGCGTGCCTTGCTCGAAGACCATTAGCTTGTCCATTGCCTTGATCTTCGGCGGCTCTACTTGGAACCGCTTATGCCACGCCGCCTTTAGATCATCCTTGCCGATCTTGGTGTGCAAGTCGCCAGCTACTACTCCGTACTTGGACAAGAGATTGTCCAACCATGCTTGGCATGCGCCCCCCGACCGGGAGTACAAGTACGCGTGGTGCTTGTGTTCTTTGACGTAGTGTAGCTGCAGCGTGAGCTCGAACTTGCGGAACCATGGAATTGGATTTGTCTTCGTCGAGTCGCAGAAGATTTCCTGGCCGTCAAACTTTGGAGCTGTCTCGCACGGTTCCGAACTCGAGTTGTTGGCGGTAGTACAAATTTGCTGCTCCAACTGTTGCGTTGCGGTCTGCTGTAACTGCACGCCGTCGTTGAGGGAGCCGACGTCCATCTCCAATGCTTCGAGGCGATCGGAGGTGTTGGAAGAGCTGGCATCGGGGTCGGCGACAGGTCGCTGCTCCAGCTGCCGGAGACGGCCGTGGACTTGAGTCAGCGCGTCGTCGAGGGCTGTGGATGTCCTCCTGCTGTATAATGCATGTTGCCAGGAGGTCCGTGAGATGGGAGAGGAGTAGAGCGATCTTGTTTTCGCTATCCTCCCATCTTGCCATTCTCGGCCTCGGCCCGCCAATCCGCTACCATCGTGGGCAAAGTTTGCTCTCTGCTAAATATCTTCTCCCGCCGTTGAACTCGTTCTTCATCAGCAGCCTTTGCTGCTGCCTCGTCGTGCTGGCGCTGCTGTTCAAGTGCCAGCAGACGTGCCTGCTCGGCGTCCTCTGCCTTCGTCTTCGCTGTTGTTGCTACGTCATCCGCCCGTATCTTGGGTTCGGTACTCCAGGCCAGCATCCGGGCCTGATAGGCCTCGTCTGTTTCCCCGGACCTCTGGTCCATGACAGCTGTTTGTGAACGCAACAGCATAGACCAGGCCGGGGGCCTGCTGACGTGGTATTCCCTGCTGCTGACGTGGCACTGCTGTCGGCTGACGTGTCCTGCTGACGTGTCCTGCTGACGTGTCCTGCTGACGTGGCCTGCTGACGTGGCCTGCTGACGTGGTCTGCTGGCGTGTCCTGCTGACGTGGCAACTCGCCAATGCCGCCGCAGGGGGTACCCGGAGACAGATAGAGAAGGTAAGACCAAAGGGGGCAACAACATAGGTGGGGAGGGGTTGGTGGGATAATCGCCCAGATAACGCCCAGATAAGGAGCCACTAATCAAAAAARAAAARTTTGAACTTTGCAAAAAAAAAAAAAAAATCCTGAGTTTTGCAAGTTCAGTAGGTCTCCCAACCTCCCTTGAAGTGCGAAACTATCAATGAGAAAAATTTTTCGAACTTCAGACTGCAAATGATTTATAGAACTGACTAACAGAATCCTAGAACCGCAAAAATAATATTTTTCCGAAAAGAAATCAAATATTCGGACTTACTCAGATGAGAGTATTCGCAGTTTGGAAAATAATACCCGCAGGAGGGATTTCCCGTACCGTTTTCAGAAAAATGAATTTCGAAAAAAAATATTCCGAATTTCTAAGCGACGGGAAATGCAACAGGAAATCGAAATTTCGAAAAGATATTCCGGATTTCCAACAACGAAATTTCGGATTTTCAGAAGAAAATGAAACGGAAATTTCAGATGTTGCACTATTGCGATTTCCCACAACAGAAATAGTGAGAAAACGAAATCCAAGAAAAAAAAAAAAATCGATTTTCGACAGTGAGGTCAAAATCGTGATTTTGGGGGCTAACTAGTGTGCTCTAATCAATCAATCAARACTAATCAGCTACCTAGTCCCCGCACACGTGTCAGATCAGGTTGTCCTGATTCACGTGTGGTGTTCCGATGCCAACTGTTACATGCCCAGTTGGGCGATGTACATACAAAACCGAGGGTCCGCAATGTGATGAAAGGACTGAATGGACAATGCAGTGCAAGTAGAATCTCAACAAGCAATGTGCATTCCGATACATTCAAAATGGTGCTTTATAGCGCAGGGAAGATTTAGATACAAATCCTGACCTGACCGAGACTGACCCCTTTCACGTAGTACAAGATAGCGAAGCAGAATGCTAGAATACTAATGACTAGCCCAATCAATACATCATGCTCATCACAAGGTGTGAAGGAGCCTGGCGCTATTACACAGGAAGGAAGCGCCAGGTCCAGACATACACAGACGAAGAGAAGGGGATCAGACGAAGAGGAGGGGGAGAGATGGGAGTGTCGTCAACACCAAGTCTTTGTCACAAGTCCCAAACAATCCCTCATGGAAATGTCTGAAGCCCAAAAGTCGAGTCTGGATCCAATGTCACCAAGCTCTCTCTCTCTCTTTCTCTCGTAGTCTGCTGATGCAGTGAAGTCAGATAATGAGAGGGTGAGAGGGAGATGGTGGACTGAGAAGAGGAAGAAGAAGAACTCTCTCTCTCTCACGAGCCAGATACTAACCTGTGAAGTTGGCGCTGTGCTACAGGTACCTCGTAGACGAAGCTGGAGCAACGACGCTGCAGGTAGGTACTCCTGGCCTCCGCCCAATCTCTCTCTCTCTAGTACTATCCTAGCTATGGCGCCCAGCGCTGAAGACTACAGCTACCTGCTGGCGCCCAGCGCTGAAGGCTAATGCTAACGCTACTACTACTCCTGCAGCGCTCCCTCCAGAGTGTTGCTGCCGAATCCTGAAGACTACTGACTGCCTCCTGCCTCCTGCCTGCCTGGACTGCACGTGAAGTGCCTGGCCAGTCCCTATGAACTACCCCCTGCCTGTAGGGCGGGCCAGTCTTATATAGTGCTGGCCCGTCCAGGAAGCTGCTCTTGCCAATGCCCAAACGTGCTAGACCCTGAGGAAGCTTCCGGGAAGTTTCTAGGTAGCTTCTGGCTAAAGCCTGAGATCCTGGAATTTCCAGGTAGCTTCTGGCTAAAGCCTGAGGGCCTATAGGCCCTTGTTTTCAGGCTGTCAGGCTGAAACGACACGGGGCCTGTAGGCCCTGGTTTTCAGGCTGTCAGGCTGAAACAGACACGGGGCCTGTAGGCCCTGGTTTTCAGGCTGTCAGGCTGAAACAG